GTAAGGCTTAGGGATATAACATGTTTAAGAACACTTCTACAGCATTTATTGAATATTTCATAAATAAAATGAAATTAAGGTTGTTCCATAAAAATACGTAGCGACTACGTATAGGGAACTTTTATTTGAAACTTGTTTTGATAACATTTTCCACAATTAAACTACAAGAACTGCACAGGTACACAGCTGACTCACCCTGTATTAACAAGAATAAGTTGTTTTACACAGTTGCCTGTAAACACTTTATCAAAAGAATACTGCGAGATTGTTTGTTTCACAAGAAGACGATTGAGAATCTGGCCTAACTTTTAATCAGAAAAATTTTCTGGCCACTCTGCTATTGATGGTCAAAGTTCTTCAAAAAATATATATCTTTTTAAATATCGGGAGAATGGTATGATGTATTTTAATGAAACTTGCTGTGAATTTGTTCTTATGTAGAATTGATATTTTGCTGAAACGATCGAGTGCGGGAGAACTACATATCCAGATACATATTCAAAAAAAAAATTGGAAGAACTTTGACCATCAAATCAGGGTTGCTAGACACTTTTTGTTAATAAAACTTGACTAAAAGTCAGATTGTTGTCTTTTAAGCCAAAGAATGTCGCTGTGCCCTTTTGATCACGTGCTTACGGGACACCCTGTATAATAAATTAGGTTTTAATTCCCATTCGAATCAGTGCATTCTTAATCCGTTAAAATTAAAGCTAATTGCGTTTACTTATGAATATGCATCAGTATACAGGGTGGTCCAATTTCAACCTGCGAGGCTTTAAAGGCAAGTTATATACCCTATAGTCCAAAAGTCTCGCTTAACGGCGGTAGGCGGCTCTTAAATTTGCACTCCCTCAACGAGTAGTAATTTTGCAATTTGCTAATCACAAAGTATCACAAGCTTATTAAACGAGGCAATTACTCAAACTTTGTTGTCCTTAGGTTAATTGAGCATATGAGACCTAACATGTATACCAAGTTTTATCTGTTGTTAACAATTTAAATAATAAATTATTGTTTATGAAACGTCCTTTTAAGAGCCGCTACCTCCGATAGACGACACTTATGTGGGTAGGGTAGGTATATGATATTTTCGCTCCCGAATGTTTTTCGCTGTAGAATATGTAGGTATATACGTTCAGTTTGTAATAATACTGAATTGTAATGATCTTAATGTCGATGGCGCTATTTCTGTTCCAAAAAAGAAAAGTAGTTATTTAAACGCTAACCAGATGCATGACAAAATAACAGTTAATGGGCGGCATATCTTTGACCCTGACCAAAGTAATTTAGTGAATTATATCTTCTTTGCAGAAATGTATTGGACATATGGATAATTTGATGCAGGGCTCACAAGGTACTAATACTAAGCTACTTGGTCTTATATACGATCAGTTGATCCTCAAATTGTATATACAGGGTATTCTTATGGTGCAAACATTTAATTTCGCGTTAAGACCCGTCGAAAGCAAAGCATTTAAGTAGGGTTTAATGAATAATTTAGAAATTAGATTGATTAAAATAGACGCATTATACTTTCGAGGTTACAAAAACACTAAAACTTTACGAGAATTGGTTGTTCACCAGAGAAAACAGTAAAATTTGCCCCTTTTTAAGAACGATAAACATTACCTGTAATACTTGTTGTCTTTATATTTGGCGCATACCAGAGTGTTGACTTGTAAAGCTTCGAATGGCAGAACGCCGATGCCCTGGTCGAATTGTTGGGAGGCACTCAGCAGAAATTGTTCCACATAAATTGAATTGTTTTTTTCGGTTTGCCCCCACACTTTTAGAAAGGGACCTTCTTTGTCCACGTGAGTAATGAACAGAGATAAGCTTTGCGGTAAAGCATCCATCTTCCTAGCTTACTTAACTTATGCTAAATATCATATATTTCTACAGCTTTTCTTTGTGTAACGAAACCGGCAAGAAACGTTTTCTTATCAGAATTTTTCTCTAAGCGTTAAAGCGTTGTGCTGTTATGCACAAACACGGACAGTGGCATTTGGAATTTTAACGACTCCCTGTCAATGTCTATTCGTTTTACTACAAACGCGTTCCGATCAGCCGATTGGTTCTTTTGATTGGCGAATATCGCATGATCTAGATTGTTGGTCTGTGCACGTGACCAATACAGCGTGCCAAAATAGAAATCTGGAATCTTTCTAGAAATTATATGCAATTTACGTTATCAAGCAGATTAAATTATCATTAGTACTTCTAACGGTATAATTATCACTATATTATCTATCTATCTCTTGTCTGTGCACTATGTTAAGAATGGCGAGAAAAAGAAGAACTATGGTCTAGGACCAACCAGTTAAGTAAGGATGTACGAAACGGTACCAATCACTCCAATATCGAGATTGAAATTTTTACTTTATGTGATTGATTGATGGAGTTACAATGTATTTGAAATTATCGAAACACACGAACCATACACATATTCAGGTGAGCAAGATTTGAAGGCAGATTAAAAAAAACTGTGCGTTTACGCTCGTTCGGAATTTCGATTCACATACAATAACTGTATTTACCAGAATCCAATTTTTGATGTACTAACTTTGTCAGATATTGTTTCAAAATGATCAGAAGCCACATAATAGCTCAGTGTTACTATGAAATTATTTTATTTCGGGCGTAAAAGTCTGTAAATCTATAGTTTAAGTTGTCAACAGGTGTGCTGTGTTGCTGCTCACCGTATGCGTGTGCAGATCCGTTCTCAGTTTTGGAATATAATCTAAAATAAAGCCACACGCTTGAGTTCGTCTGTGTATATTATTTCATTGTGCTAACATTTTTCGTACCAAATATAATTAACAACCAGATTAATCTCATACAGTAAAAATCAGATAAAGCGACGAAACTTTGCTGCTTAGGTATAAAATATACAAAGTGTGCAAACAAAGTGGTTTTTACGGATATTTCGAAAACCGCAGCAATCATGCAGAAACCGTTATAGAGTACAATACGATTACAAACTCATAAAAAAACTTAGAGCAGGGCTATTTAATAGTGTTAAAATATACATCGCGGTCCATGAAAAACCCAAAATTATATTTTTTAATTTATGTAAAAAAAATATTTCTGTACAATTGACTATCTATAAATTTTTTAAAATATTTTCAGTAATAAAAGAGCTAAAAAAGTTGATAACGCCATATTTTCACCTTTACCTTGTATCTCAATGAAAAGTAACAAGGGATTATTTTGCTCCAAAAATTAAGCTGAACCAACCATATGATTTCCGAAATAATCCGTAAAAATGATAAATTTTGCCTACTCTGTACAAGGTGTTGAAAACGAATTGAGTAATTTGTAAAAACTGTTTGGGTTTTAGAGAGTTTCAATACGTTTTATACATATAATTATTGATCCACCTGGTTATAATGAACACAGTCGCAAAAAATAACAAAAATAAGCATTTTCCTCCCCTACTACCTCAAGATCCGAAAAAAATCAATTTGTTTTGTTCCTCTGGGCAATTCTGGTCTATTTTTGCTAAAGCTTTTCTCAGAGAATTTGAGTCGAAAGTTACCTAACTTTAAAACCATTTTTTTGTGTTGTGGATATTCATACGTTGAAACATTACGACCTTACATACCAGTGAGTGATGCCAGATCGGTAAAATTCCAATCCCTAGATGGTCACTAAAAAATTCCTAGTTTTCCGTACATTTTGAAAAAAAAATAACTAGAATGTTTAATAAAAAATGATAATAAGTGAAACAAACAAGGAAACCGTATATTACACTGTAAATGTTTATACAAGTTTAAAGAATGTAACAAAATAAAACTCATAATTTTGCATCAATTACCATTCTTCTTATTTATTCTTTTAAGTTCAAGCTTTAATTTAAATAGGTATTGGACAAAGTTTATATGTAGATGGGGAAGTTGAAAATCACACTCACTGAAGGTATATTAATTTTTGCATCCCAGTACAGATTTTTTCCGGGAAATTAAAAATACCTTAAAAAAGATTCAAAGAATTCGTTAGAAATCGAATCGCGATATTGCATTAACAAATTCTGGCTTCTTTCCACTTGTTAGCATTATGTTACATTTTTAAATTTTTGTACATTAAATGACAAAAAGGTTCATAGTGTGCGCTAATAAAACACACGCGAAAATAAAAAAATATATTTTTTTTATAGAATTTAGATAATAATTTAATATAGGGGTTCCTTTTCAAAAACATAACTTTCATTGTAACTTTTGTGGAACATTTTGTATAATTTCAACCAATTTGTGAAGCCATTTAAAATAAACGAGAAATTTGAGACAAAAAAAATTACTCTAAAATATTACTTTTTTAATGGTACACTGATACATTGCGCCTTTCTCCTAGCGCTGTAACGCTTCTGACGCACAAAATTGAATAATAAATTAGTTTAGTAATTGTTAATTCGCTGTTCATATAGATATTCTACCGTATTTATTACCTCCATATTGAGTCCATATTATTGCTGGTTTGTTCGCGCGATTTCCACAGCTTTTGAAGCGACTCACAGGGCCATATGCCTTCCGTAGGTCTACGAAAAGCAAGTGAAGATCCTGGTTCTATGCGTTTTTTTTCAAATGATTTTGCTAGCTGATTGTGCCTGTTACTTCTATTCCTCGATAATTTTCCCAGCTGCTTCTGTCTCCTCTTTTAAACAAGGTGGTTAGATAAGGAATTTTTCACTCTGCTGATATAGTTTAATTGTTGAGACACTTTTGAAAGAGTTTTTGGATCATGTTTCCATTTTTGCCCAAATCTTGTTTCATTAACTATACTGCCAGGGCTGGGCACTTTTCCATTGTTTAGGCAGTTGAGTTGTTTTTTTATTGCCTCTATTGTTACCCTGATGGAGCTTCCTACAAACCTAAAATTTCTTGGTGTTTCATCAAGTTAGACTGCCATTAGAAGCTGTCTGTAAAATAGCCTTCCTATTTCTTAAGAATTTTTGGGGATATTATTTATCTTCTTGTTCCTGTTCTCATATTTTCAAATATTCTCCAGCTTTCCGTGCTTTGTGTTCCTCCTAGTTGTGAGTTAATTCTTGAACAGTCTTTTCCATGCTTCGTTCTTCTTTGGACCAATCTTTCTACGAACTTCTGCTTGCAATTTCTTATCAGTATCCTGTATTGCATGCTCTGGCTTCTCAAACAGGTTTGATATTTGTTCTCCTTTCCTCTATTTTATGCTCTAAACATCCTATAGATTTGAAAAAAATTAGCGCGCCAACTTATCATACAAACAACTGTATGAAAAGTTGCCCTCTACCAACTAAAATTCGACCATAAGATCTATTAATATAAAACGTTTCACTCATTAGTTTAATTGAATTTATTAATAGTGATTCATTAATCGATTTCAAGATGCATGTAACATTGCTTCGAATCAATGGCAAAACGTATAAAATGTTTCAATTTTTGTACGGACTCGGGAAAATATTTTTAGTATAAAGCGACGCTCGTATTGATCGCAGAATTACGCGCATACTCTTTCGAAAATAATGTTAATTATTCTCTGCCTGTATGAGAAGCGAAAAACAAAAATAAGGGCCGAATAAAACAGAAAATGTGTACCTAAATTAGTAGCACGGATGTAAAACATATATATCCAAATAGCGAATATAAAGCAAAGTCCGGAACGGTGATAGTGTTTTGTCCAAACAGTGTATTTAGTGCAACGAAATCATGAATTCTCCAGTACTTAGGACCGTATCTGTCCTTTTGGGTACCTTTTTTATTTTCGTAGGAGTATTTAAAATCTCCAGTGTGGTGTCCAAAGAATTGCATAAAGATTTGGTAAGTTATCACTCAATTGATAACATTAGCGTTTTCAAAAAAAATTAAAGAGCCAAAATTATCAAAAGCAATGATAATCAGATAATTAAAAAACTCTTCCTAAACAGTTAAAAAGTTCCCAACACAAATATTTAAAAAGTTCAGAAAACAAAGAAAACTAAACCTCGGTTTCCTATTGATCGGCTTTTGTCCTAAGCTCGTCCTTATTTCAAAGGGACGGTAAGAATTTTGCCTGATTTCGGTATTGACGCATTTTTTCTTTTTGCCACTGTTATACAATAGAAGTATATGATGGGCTCATATTTGTTGGCTACTTGCCTGCCCAGGTTGCTTGAAATATTTTGGCGTCGGTTTTTTCGTCATAATTAAGCAATGCACAATGGTCTGATGATCATTATTTACATGCAATATTGACTCAAGAAAACACCCATATCAACTAGAGATTTATGTAACCGATAAAAAAAGGAAGAACAATTCTTATTTATCATCAAAACGAAAATAATAACAAATATATTTAAAGCTACAAGTGAAAAACATAATGAATTCTGTTAATGATGTTTTATATACCATTGTTCTCTTTGTCAAACACAACCGATAAACTAAATGTAATAAACGTTTAATTGATGATCAAGATAAATCAGTAGATTTTTGAAGTGATAACTTTTTATGGGAGGGTGAACAGATTTTTATCGGTCACGGCGAGCCNGGCTGCCACTCCGGCCTCTTCGCGCCTGATGCTTGGGACAAACATATGCACTTTTACTATTCGACATTTTTCTCTTAGTGCGGGTGCATCTGTAGATCTGATAAACTTTTCAAATTTACATTGCGTTATTAAACTGACGGTGATTTTGATCTATAAATTATTGTGTTCGGTGCCGTTTATTTCATAACGCTGATATCAATGTATCAACAAATTAACAAGGGAGAAGCTGCAGATACTGCAAATACTAGGTAAGGGTGCTCATGTACTATATGCCTGTTCGAGTTTCGCGTTCTTTTAAATTTCCAATTAAAGTACACACACAATTATACACACTCAAGCAGAAGTGCAAAAAATGCGGATCGTCCATAAATTTGCAGAAAAATATATTACAAACTTTTGAAAATCATGTTCAAACGACCGGGTATTTATCATTGCAAATGAGATTGCCCATTTCCGTGTACCGATGATTCGACACGCAAAATTGTATCTAAGATCCACTACAATAAAGTTTTTGAAAAACTGTTGGAGCTGTTTTAAATCGCCTGATTGATTGCGGACGCCAATTCGTATCAAGATAAGATTAAATTAAATTAAATCGTACCGATAGAATCCCGGCACCGATTCCCTATGTCTGAGGTCCAGATGCTGCCCAGATGATGTCCATTTGCATTGTATTGCACGACTCAAAGTTCCGATCTCGTAAAATATTACTACCTACTTTCTTTCTACTAGTGATTTTCATCGGAGACAATTGTTAAACCAGATGTTGAGCGGATATTCTCTAAAGAAGGCAGGGTCAATTTATGAAGAACTCCCAAGATTAAGTGCAAATAAAGTGTCACATCTATTATTAATAACTTTTAATGCAATAATATGTTCTATTTTTTGTTATTTTATTTTGTAACAAAAAATAATAGATATTTAGATATCTATTTTGTAAGCAATTATATTTAACATAAAATGATAAAAATCACAACTGTTTTGTAATAATAAATAATAAATACGTTTTGAATTTAATTGAAAAAATATTTGAGTTTACCTCGATTATTTCAGAAAACATGGGTACCGTCTTCTTATTTTCTATCACGTAAACTCAACAAGAAGAGTTTACACAAACCCAAGAAGAGAAATATGTACAAGATTTAGCTTTAGAAATATGTACAAGCGTTGAAGAATGTTAAATGTTGCAAATACAAATATATTTTACATTCAAAAGAAAATTAAATTACATTTTACCTATTCCTGATCCATTTATAAATTATTACACTAACAAGAATATTAAACTTATAAAATAAAATTATTTTTGCCATCATGAATTAATCAAGTTCAATATTTTATGGTTTCTATAAATATATGTTATCACTTCTGTCGAGGGTCCCATGACGCACACTATTTTGTCTTCCTATTTTTATGAATAACCAACCAATAGCCCAAGCTCAATTAATTAATTGGCCCATTACTTGGCAACCTACACTAAAAGTATTATTAGTTAATTTTTTTACATAAAAGCCACAATATTTACTATGTCATAACAAAGTTCCGGGTGATAAAAGAAAATCTGACCCCAAAAAAAATGTCACCCTGTACATTCTGAGAACCGTTTGATACATTGGCCAATAGTACATAATCCAAATTTGAATTAAATATCTGGAAAACTGTAAAAGCTCTAAAGGAAAGATAGAATAAAATTTCTAATTTCAACAATTTTTATATAAAAACTCTGCCTCTTTTGGCAAAATGCTTATGAAGCAAAATGTATAACTCTGAGAAACTTCAGGTTTAATTTTTGTCAAAAGTCCAGTAAAAGCACAATTATTAATTGCTTTATAACTGCTAGAATATAAAGAATTTTTTTGCGCAATGTCGCCGTATTAATTGTTTTTCCATTTTTTTCCAAATGTCCCGAGAAAATGAGCAAAGAACATATTTTCTAAATATTCCACAATTTCAATTTGATGAGATGCAGATAATGGCTTTTAAATCAGTTTAACGAAACCCAATCTAACCCAATGCGTTCCAGAAGTTTAACTTAATCAACGGAACTTTTAAACGTAAATAACATGGTTTATTTAAGTAGAGCCTCAGACTGTGATTTATGGACAACTCAGTTGTAAAATTGTTACTCTGTAAACTCTGTATCTATAAATGTAACTATGCAGGATGATTACATTTTAGAACTGGAAAATAAACGAAATGATAATATCATAAAATTAAGTAGACAGTTTCTTATGGTGTTTAAATGAAGTCTATACAGGGTGTCCCACCGGGAACCGCCGCGATCGATATCTGCCATACTGTAATTAGCAGAAATTTGAAAATTGGGCAGCGTGCCGAGGTCATTGGGGGACACACTTCCGGTTATACCGGAAGTGCGTATCAACTTGCTTATTTTAAATGGAGCACCCTATATATTATTACATTTTTGAATTCTAATCCAATATATGAATGTAGTTCATGTTTAATATCGTATACCTAAGTCTAACCGTTTTTGACATATTTGAAATTTTATGTAAAAATTGACATTTGCAGCCATTCGAATAATTATTCATTTGATGGGAAATAAGTGAATTTGTCATACTTAATTTGAGTCGCATTTATTGTTGAAAATGACTTACTTTAATGGAATTTCGAAAACATTTTGAAAACTATTAATACAAAGTGTTAAAAAAATAAGTTTCAAAATACAATTGAGAAAACCGCCTAAAACCTATGATTTTTTCAAATAAAAACTCCTATTTTTGATAATTTTGTCAAATTCGGTATTAAAAATAAGTGTAAATTTATGTAACGATCCAAAAGTGTTTAGTTTTAAGAACCATTTATGTATCAATAATTAATATTATATCAATCACTGACATTAAGACGTATTCAAAATTCTTGAAATTTTCTATAATTTGTTTAACAGCACAGCATGAAGGCTTCTGTTTTTGTGGATATCGAATGACAAATGTGTCACATGTTCTTGATGCAGCTTTATTAAATTCTTCATAAATAATAAATAAGTTTAAATAATCTTCCTTTACATAATTGAAGCGCCCTGGCATGACATTAATTATTTTTAAATAGTAACTGACAGCTGTCAGCATTCTTTTGACATTTGATTGCATTAAAAATGGCCACTTTCGTCATGGCAACTAAAAGTGACAGTATTTAAAAGAAGGTGCTGCAAAATAGCCATATGAAAACATTAAATTGACAATATTTCGGAAACTAAACACTTTTGGAATAGACATCGTTACACAAACTTACACTTGTTTTTAATACTGAATATGACAAAATTATCAAAAATAGGAATTTCCATTTGAAAAAATTGATTTTGGGCGGTTTTCTCAACTGTATTTTGAAACTAATTTTTTTAACACTTTGTATTAATAGTTTTCAAAATGATTTCGAAATTCCATTAAAGTAAGTCCTTGTCAACAATAAATACGACTCAAGTTAAGTATGACAAATTCTCTTATCGGAAAAATCAATAATTATTCGAGTGGCTGCAACTGTCATTATTTACATAAAATTCCAAATATATCAAAAACGATTAGACTTGGCTACAGGATATTGTATATGAAATATATTTAGAATTTGGAGTAGAATTCAAAAATGTAATAATATATAGGGTATTCCATTTAAAATCAGCAAGTTGATACCTACTTCCGGTATAACCGAAAGTGTGACCATTTTGAAAATATTTTAGACCGCTTGCTCCCAATTACTTCGGGTTACTATCCAATTTTCAAATTTTTCCTAATTACAGTTGGTCAGATATCGATTGCGGAGTTCCCGGTGGTACACCCTGTATAGGGTGTGATTTTCTTACATTTTTTGAGTTAACTCAAACTTGGAACTCACTCAATCCGGTGTCAGCAGAGCCTCCTATTTTATTTGCGGAAGCCACAAATGTCAGACCTCTTTCTATTATTTACAAAACTATCTAGGATGCATTAATTTATAATTTATATTAAATCTAGTCTAACAGCTCAAAATCGATAGCAGGTGCGAAGAAAATGCATAAGATTACATAAAAGTTTAGGCGGTAAAACTGGATTAGACATTTAAAAAATATCACCTTGAATTCTCTTACAATTACTTGACCCATTGGACTATGTAGACCCAGAGAAAAACGTATTTTTTCGTACATTTGAACAAAATATATCGGAAAAGTTCAAATAAATATTTTCTAATTTTTCTCATTTCAAAACCTTATATCTTAGGAACCAACCGATCTCGAGTTGTGTCAATCTCAGACACCTCCAGAACTCGCTTCAAAAATAGATGTTTTGAGGGGCTATCTTCAGGCTATAACCAGCTGATGATAGCACATCCCGAGATGTGAAGCATACTTACATCAGAATCCATTGACGGTTCAAAAATCAAAACTGAAAGTTCTTTGAAACTCTCTGTTGACTCAATGAAAAATTTAATCAAAATATTTACTTCATTAGAGCCATGTTCGAGAATGTGACCTTTTTATTAGTGATTTTTATTAGTTGCAATTTTGTGTTGCGCGTAATGCTTATTTGAACTAGAGGAACAAACATGAGAACTAGAGAAATAACCCCCACATACTAGAATCAGGTTTTATCGTTAAAAAAATTCAATTGCAACCTCAATCAATTAAGTTGACAATCAATTAAAACTTGATAAATTAGGCCAAATAATTATAACTAGACCATGCCGAGGATCACCTCAATAATTACTTTAGCTTATAGATCAGTGGCGCAATATATTTAGATAAGATAAAGAAGAAGATAAAGAGATTTATGAAAAAAAAATGGTCAAGAGGGGCGAATTGAAAGTAGCGCTTCAGAATTGCTATACTTAACTTTATAATCGGTATATGCTATTATAAAGACGATCAAAGAAAGGCTTTCACGTTGGATCATTACAATTTTATTGTTATAGGCTTATGCTAATTTCCTTCGTATTGATATTTAATGCGAATTCAAAATGGATCTGTGTGTATAAGCTTAGTGGTTGCGCCAGTTTCTCTATCAGAGTAAACCATTATTTTCTCAGACAGTTTTCCGCAAATTTTGTAACATGAAGTTAATCAGTTTTGTTAATTTTAATTTTCTTAAATAATGTCTGATTATTTTTCAAGTTTTGCTAGCAAATTAAAATAATTGCCAAGATAGTGGATATAATTGTCACGAATCTCTACAGTCTAAATTGCAACAACTGCATTTGCAACAGGGTTTTGCTTCCTACAATTACACATTTTTCAATTTACTGAGAATAATTGTCTCCTGTAAATTCTAAACACAAATTGCACAAACCTAGGTATTTAATATTTGGAGTTTCTACACTTTGTAAAGTAAAATGAAATGGCGTTGTGTAAATAAGGGGAAAGATATAAATAAATATCACTTAGTAAGTAGATCTGCAAGTTTTACAGTTAAATAGGCAAGTGTTACAATAATGTATAATCGTTGCAACGTTGAACGAAGTGATATTAGCTTTGGTTGATCGAATTTAACATTTTGTATCTAAACAATTATGTAGGAATAATTGTATCTTGTAGAATTTAAAGTAAAATGTCGCAATTTTTTATAGTTTTTAGGCCGAAATTGCCATATATGTTTACCGACTTTAGTCGCGAATTTCAAATATTATTTAGATTTTCTTGCCTAAGTGATGTTTTTCATTAGAAAAACTGATTGCATACATAATTTTTTTTTCTATACGAATGTTTTTTTAAGTTGATTTTTTTACGTGCATATAAAATAAAATTATTGAATCCAACAACGTTTTCAAATCTTTAAACGGAAAAAATTAACAATGTGAAAGTTAGATCATGTTTTGACAACGTTCTGCTATTCCCAACCACTGCTCTTTAACGGCCTGAATACGAAAATTGGAATTTCTCTTTTGCTGGAACCTGCTCTATACGAAGAATAAAAACTTTACTTGACACTTGTAAATGAAACTCTCCATACCCCCATAAGAAGAAATTTCAAGAGTTTAGGTGTGGCAGTATTGGTGTCCAAGAGCAACATCTACTAAAACACAAAAAAAATATTTGTTTAATAGGCCACTTGATGCAAAAACCTGTTATAAAAAAGCAACAGAGGAAGTGGTTCCTTTGCTGTTCAAACCTGACAAATTTCTTAGCTATAGTTTTAATAAGAGCGACATTATACGAGCTCATTATACGAGGATATTAGATTTTCATGAAAAAATATTGAAATTGTTTGTTTTGTTTCAGCGGAAAGAGTATGTTAAATATGCAAGTTTTTTCCCTTTGGCACAAACGCTGAACTTTAAGGTGCCCTCCAAGTGGTACCGGAGAACTATAGGAGTGCTGGAAATTGTCTTTGGTACAGCTTTGGCGTTCTTTCCAAATCGTAAGTATACAAAAAGCATTCAAATATTTTTATAAAAAGGTGTACTTGAGTGAATATTTCAATAATTAACGATATTTTATATGGCAAAATCTGTTATGGTAAATTTTCAAAACATGTAACAAGCACAGGTTTTATGGTGTTTTGAATTACTTTTCATTTTATGTAGCGTTCATCAAATTAAAATTATATTTATTCTTAACTTACGGCAAGTGTGACTTCAACAGCAGATCTAAATCAAATCTATCGAGTTGTTGCTTTAGAAATTAAAAGAAAATTTTTATATGCATTTGAAACATTTTTGTTTCTCTAAATTTGTTGCAAACTGGAAATGAAATCTGATATCTCACTACAACATGTATATGTATATATCAAGTGATTTAATTAATTTTTTTTCGAAAACTATATGAAAGTAATTATATATATTAAAAGATATGTATATAATATTAACCATAAATATCATGCCAAATTTAATAACATTGGAAAATAATAATATACAGATATACAACGACAATTCTAAGGTTAATTTCAATTTCGCCAATTTACCTATTGTAGATGTAAAATTTAATTATATTAAGCCTACCGACGTAATTGTTCACGGCTCCGTGATAAAACTATCTATTTTTATCTGGAATCTAATATTGACATTTTCGATATGTAGGTTGTGGTCAGCAGTTTTTGGGAGAATAAAATCTAAAATTACTGCACATTGCTCACTGTTCTCTAAATAAATTCAATTTTACTAATTCGAATAATTGCTGCTTCGTGGTACCAGGCAAACATTTTTTTCAGTTAGTAAAATGAATGTTAATATCTGTCTGTATAATACATATATTTGTCATTGTTATAATTTCTTAATGATTTAAAGAAATATTAGTTTAAAAAATCTATGATCGCAATTACGAAAATGTTGGGTTTGATTGGCACGCATATTGACAACTTGGCAAATAGGTTTCTAAAGTAAAGACTGGTTTTAAATATTTCTAACTTCCTGCATAGGTAGGTACACAATATAATCTGATCTCTAATTAGTTTGAGCAATCGAGTTCGTGTTAGGTTAGTGGTAAAACGGATGCATACTTTTTTAGTTATTTAATTATATTTTTATTACATATGTATTAAATGAATTAAATATTTCCCATACGGCATGATAAAATGGTGTTTTTTTTTGCCTTTGGATAAATAATAAGTAATAAACACCTCATACAATTTTGTGGCCAAACAGAAAGAATGCTTGTGAACTTCTTTTTCATTTGAATTTTCACATTAATAACACAATTTTCCTTGCAGACAAAGTTAAAAATGCAGCTAACACGGTTTTGCTTCTCCTCACCGTTATGGCCATGTACACTCACTACATGGTAGCTGACCGATTTAGTCGAACAGCGCCCGCCATCGTATTTTTCTTTCTACTCGTTGGAAGGTTAGGGATATTTTACCAGCTTCAGAAGAGAGAACAGCGATTAAAGCAGCAACCTATTAGTAACGGGATCAAACAAGACTAATAAGCTTATCGTCGATATCCAGGATTTCCTTCTGGAATCTCACTGGACGTTGCGATATCGAATAAGAGCACACGTTCTACTAAATCTAATTTTTATAGATAATAATTATGCGTTAATTTATGCTGATAATTATTAATTTATGCGCAATAAAGGTTTCTGAGAAATTTTAAAAATTATTCACACATTTGAGCCTATAAGACTCTTTACATTAGCATTTCTCAATATTGTATAATATAGTATAACTTTAATGGCGTGGTCCAGTTTTAAGAGGGTCTCCCTGTATAATGTATATCGAGATGGAGGTTTATAAGGTAATAACTAAGAACGCGTACCGGATCAAGGGTCAAAAGCTGAGCGAATACCGGTATTATATTATTTTTGTTAAGTCTTTGTACTTTTTATTTTTATATTTTCTTAAATTTGGTGTCTGTTTTCATTATTCCTGTTTTTATTGTCGCAATGATAATGAACTGATGATGTACTACATTATTTGTTCTTTGTCTCTTTGCTTTTGAGCGACTTATATGTAATACTTATTTATATCTACTGTTCGTAAGTAAAATATAGTCTAAGATAATGTACTATTAGGGCAATTTGTAAGAGTATATATAAGAAGTTTTTAGAAGAGCAATTATTGTCTAGTCAAAAATATGTTTTAGCTAAATGAAATGCACTAAGAAAGTACAATTGATATAAAAATAAATATAAACAATTCTCAGCATATTTTTTCGAGAAATTGCAGCCTAATTTGACAAAGTTTTACTTTATTATTTAAAAATTATCCTTCAGAATGTTATAATACTAAATATTGTATATTTAAGAAAGGTCGCAGTACGATAAAGCAATTGCTGCAGAATATGCATATTTTTGGTCAAGTCTCGCAAAATGCTATACATTTAATAATAGAAACCATCAACTCAATAAACATACTTTGAAGAATTTTGAATAAATATCTATAGAAATTTTGCATAATCTCATAAAAATTCAATATATGACAACTATCTTTAAAGATTAGGAGGCTATTAGAATATACTAGGCTACTTCTAGAAAGTAAAATAACTTTAAGATAACAATCTTACTTTAGATAATAAATGTGTACATGTAGGAAGAGTAGAATTAGAGTTTTTATAGTGTCAAAATTGAAAAATACATACATACATAAGTAGCTTGAAGGTACTGTTTAAGATGAAATTGAACAAGAACATTAGACAATTCTGCATTCACTGACAAAAAACCAGCATTGAAATTTTCCTATTCAAATATGCTTATTTTTACAAACTCAAAAAAAAGTTAAAATGCAGCTTAACTTTCGTAATCGCCACTGTTACTAAAAACTAGTTTCAATCGCCATCACTGCCACTAAAAGGTCATCGATACTATGAGGTAACGCTAAACGCATACCCTCAAAAGTTTCTGAAATAAACGATTTGAAAAAAAATGTGTTTTTATTTTTCTAAATGCTTAAAATTTTTAGCGCCGGTGTACTTTTGCGATGTAAATAATTTAAATTTTGTTGAACTATTTACAGAGCCTTGTCCTCTATGGTCCAAGTTCAGATTGAAAATAGCCTGTGATATTTATATTTATATTCGAAGCCTTGGAGATACTGTACATCGGCAAATGAATGTGAATAGACAACATTGTTTGCAGTTTTAATCAGTTAACTATCAGTTGGAATTTGTGGGGTCGTAATACAGTTACAGGGCGGCGCTAAGTTACTAAAATTGGGAATACAAATTTCTGGCTGGAATTTGGTTAAATTTAAACTACTTAAAATAGTACATGATATGGTACTGAATGCTACCAAATCAAATTGAAATGTTAATAAATAGTTTTTGTTATTGGCTCTTTAGTTGAGTCTTTATTTAGTCAGAGTGTATCAAACAAGTTCGATGAAATGTATTGAAGCACTTTGAATAATCAGCTTTACTAAGTAGTAAATAAATTATATTAAAATGGTTACGTTTTCACGTTTCCTGGGTTGATTAAAATTGCTGCATACTATATTAAAGAATTGTACGTAAGTTTTACATATGAAAGGGGAAACACACATTACATTCCAAATATTTTTGCGTTAATAAAGTTAACAACTGAACGTTGCTTTTCATGTTATTTGAAGTTGAAAAAGAACTATATGATCAAAAAAACTGTTTGAAAATGAATGAATAGTACGGATTTTGGTTAGCAGAGCAAAACTAAAATGTTTCTAAGCGTTATTTTATTATTTGATTTTTTACCAAATAAATAAATGAAGAATGAAAATCGTATCTTCTTATGCCACTAAAAGTGGTATTTTGAAAAATTGCTAGTTTAACTTCATTTAGATTAGTAGTCATTTAAAGCAATTATTTATTTTCAAATAATTCTATTATTAAAAAGAAATTTTTAAATATAAACTGTATTAATGCGTTTCTTTGTAATACAGTTTAAAACAAAAACTTATATTTTCTCATAAACGTATACACAATATTTTATGGCCAAGACTTATCGTTATTATTACATAGTACGTTAATTTAAGCAATCTGGAATCGTTATTTAAAGAAAATAAAAAATGTTGCCTTTTTATCCAACGTTACTTTTATACGTTGCATATTTGATGCTGATTTGTAATTTGCAATATAAGAATATTCGAATATTAGTTTAAAGTTTGTTTGAATTTTGCCTCTATCTTCTTTATATGTTTGTGGTCACGAATTAATTTGTAGAAATAAATTATGATACGATAAATAATCGTTGAAATGTACCAGCTTAGTAACAAATGCTGATTTTTCACTTAGAATTGTACATTTGCATTGCACGAATCACATTTTTTTAAACTTGAGCAAACTTAGATAACTTTTTCAAACACCTTTCAGAAAAGAGTACATTACATAAGGTCACTAAAGGTTGGTAAGGGTCTCAAATGCTGTGGAGGCTGCTGATTGGTTCATAGCACAAAACTTTGAGACTGCATCTTAGTATACTCAGAAGTCGGCAAAGACCAAAGAGCAGCATCAGGGGATGGGATATTAGTAAATGAGAAATGTTAACAAAACATAACATAGAATACGTTAGCGACAGAATCTTAAGATTAAAAATGATGTTAGATCATCCGCTACATATAATATCAGAATTCGCCCTCGATATGAGTAAACCAGAAGAAATTTCAATAACATTCTACGAAAAACTAAAATTGGAGTTGGACAAAATACCATAAAACTCTTAAAAGTTAATTTTACTGGGAGATCTAAACGCTAGAATAGGAAATGAAGAAGTGAATAGAGTGAAACAAAAATACCACGAAAACGTTACTAACCGCAATGGCGAAATGCGAGATTTGTGCACAGAATGGCAGAACAACATAAATAAAATAATCAATTATATTTATTATAATTATATAAATCAATAATCGATTAGTTCGATAGTGATTATCATCACTAACCGAATGTTCCTGCTGTTCTTATCCTCAGCTAACATTGGAACAGACCACAAATTAGTACCAGGGAAGCTGCGAACAGCAATGTCTAAGCAAAAAGAAACCAACAATTAAAAGTGAAAAATTCAATATAGAATCGCTTAACTACGAAAGCACTAAACAACTTTACTCAAACCGATGCAAACAACATATTGCTGATAATAAAATAGTGCAAAATGACAATCTTAACGTAGCATGGAATAAATTTTAGCTTTAGGAACACGCACGATGACGCAGAGGGACCGACCTAACTTTTTGTTAGGTGTATGTTGGTTCACTACAGAAGTTAAAAACATCACAAGGGAAAAGAAGAACATATATTTGCAACACGGAGAATTACCAACACCAGAAAACCGAAATAGGTATATGGAAATAAGAAACACGGTTAACAACAGAGTTCGAGAAATCAAAGAAGAATACTGGCAGAGGTTCAATACTGAAATGCAGGCAGTACGGGGCATAAAAACGTATCTGGAAATTATTGAGGGGCATGAAACGAGAAACACACGAAACAATACAACTAGAAACAATTACGGAAGGAACGTGCGAAACATATTTTAGAAATCTATACGCAGCCATAGAAAGCCCGGAGGAAGCACAAGAAACCACACAGAACGATCCTCTGGAAGAAAACACGCATATCACGGAAGAGCAAGCAAGCGAGACTGTGAGAAAACTTAAAAATAGAAAACTTCGATACGGAGAAACTGCCATGATAGAAGAATACACAAAACTCTTTCATCATATTTAAACATAGAAAGATTCCAGTAACACGGAAAAACATCATTACAGTACACATCTATAAGAAAGGTGACCAAACGAATCCAACAACCTACCGAGGCATAACACTACTAAGCACCTCGCTAAAACTTCTAATCAAGATCATTGCCGAAAAAATAATCTCAGTATCGCCAATAAGCGAAGAAGAGCAAGTATTTCGGTAAAACCGATCCACTACCGATGCATTATTTATGCTCAGAAAATGAGAAAAATACGTAGAGTACAGCACCCCTGCCTACCTCTGCTTTGTAGATCTAACCAAGGCTTTCGACAGACTGCAAATAAAAGAGGTTCTCAGGCTCCTGTAAAACAGTAATATGCTGAAAGAATATATAGAACTTATTAAGGATCTAACTAGTAATACACAAACGCAAATACTAGCAAACTCGTCACTAACACAGCATCTCCGAACAACCGCAGGTATTCGCCAAGGCGACAACCTCATCCCTGTGCGATTTAACACAATCATGGACAAATTAGAAAAAGCCGCAAAGAATACTGGATTAGGATATTAAATGCAAATGTATAAAATAAGCATATTTTGCTATGCCGACGACTTATCCTGAATCAGCAGATGACCTCCAAAGAATATTACAAGCTTTTATGAACCAGGCAGGAAAACTTAACATGCAAATCTCTATAAACAAGACCAAATGCGTGACTATAGCAAGGGAACCATTGCGCTGCAAACGGGCAGTAGAAAATGCATTATACAACAAAGCATGTTATCCGAATACCTCGGATTCAAAATCACAAGTGCCGGGTTTCTGGAAAATGAAGTAATCAACAAGTTAATAAAGCTGCCGCAATATCAGGGCATCTTAGATATCCAATCTGGAAAAACAAACACCTAAGCATAGATTGCAAATCGAAAATATGCAAAGTATGTGTACGGCCGGTGATGAAATATGGTGCGGAAACAAGAGCTGAAACTTCCGTAACAACGAGGATCTTAAGAAGAACTGATGAAGACCCTAAGAGCAATAACAGGGCACACACTAAACGATAGGCACATAAATACAGACATAAGAAAAAGGTGCCAAACCGATCGTCGCAGTCAGATGGACAAGGAAAATAAGGAGAGAATGGAACCAGCATGTCCGAATGAGTCCAGACAGAATAGCCAAGGTAGTACGAAACCACATGGAAGAAGACCTGTAGGACGACCACCAAAACCAGTTGTCTTCATCTATGACCAAAACGATGGCAAGACAGCTGGCAATCAACAACGCAAGAACTGCTTCAAAGAAACCGAACCCAAACAGGCGATGCGCCGTTGTACAGAGAGAGAAGAAGAATAACATCAAAGGTGAAGAAATTAAATAAGAAGAGAAGAAAAACGAATTAAAATTTTCGTAAAATGTTTATAAATTTAAACAAAGTTCGCAAAATTTTATTTGTAATAAACAGTTAAATATCGCACAAACGACTGGGAAATACTGATTATCGGCAAAGTTGTATTTACATCTTTAACAGCTGATATCTTCAAGAAATTATAACAAAAACTTATTTAAATAGATTCCCTTAAGTAACTAAATTAATTTTATGAAAGGAATGACACCAATAGTTAATGACTTGTTAACTCTAACTTTTTAAAAAACTTAATTAGGCATTTTGCTGACACGTTACTTATTATTGGGATAATACCATATTAGATCTGTTATCCTCGAATTTTTTTTCTAAATTGAATAGTGTGTCATTAAATAATACATGATAAGAATTGAATATTTAGCCAATCTCGTCGAATAGTGACTTGCGTATTAAAGATCTATTACTATTTGATACTTGAGTGATTGAACCTCACGTTTTCAAATTAGTTTACTAACAGAGCCTGTCAATCAGCTAACATCAATTCTATAACAAATAGGCCAGTACAAACCGTTAGTTAAACAAAACAAGATTCACACCTGTGTACCAAAAGTAGAAAATCATCTATTATTCATCATCTTTGTTTCAGTTTGCAAAAATTAATCTAAAGAACATGTAGAAATGTTTAAGTCAGACCAACTATGGATATTAACTATAATTACTTCCCATCGCCCTGAAATTAGGTGAGTACACATTCCAAAAAACACCATTTCCTTGGCTCATTCCCCATGCAATGCATCCTTATATGGAAACCCTGTATATCGTCTATATTCTAAACGCATTAAAATAGTTCCATGCAAATTACGCTACAGATATTTTAGATGGCTTTTTAACACTATTTTCACCTGCCGTACCCTTGCAGGCATGCAATTAACTCAAAATGTTTGCTTCGATATTTTATGGCTGTTCCCTCACAAATTTTGAAAAATGAAAAAAATGTGCAACTCGAAAATCTAACGTTAAAGGTTTTAGAGATATGGCTGTTAAATGTACACTTCTTTTCAAGGAACTGTTGGGAACCCGAACGGTTTGTTCAATTTCCCGTTTATTTATTTAATTTAAAATAAATATCAAAATGTTTTATACACTTTTATTTAATTTATGAAATAAATTTCTTACTTATTAAATACTAAATAATGGAGGAAAAGACTGTTATGCAATTTTAGTAAAATGCACGACCGCGATGTGTCTCGACTGAAGTTTGTAGAGTGTCTTATTTGGGGACAAATCAGACGGTCTTTTATATCAAAATTCGATGACGTTTTTGTTTATCCAGAATCGTTCTTCTTGGAACGTGAAACCAAAAAGGCTATCTTATGTCTGAAATATTACTAAATCAATTAACCATCCTAGAAGAAAAATATACTTAAATAATGAAATGGTCACTTTAG